AGAAGTCTGTAAGGAACTTCTCATTGATAGTTGTGTCTATGAGAAGATTGTTAAAGAAAGAAAAACCTTGGTTACGGGTCTGCAATGATTATAAGCCTGCATTTAAGAAGTTAAAGCATGTGCTAACTCACTATCATGTTTTGAAAATTGTTGATTTTCTTTCTCTTTCATTGTTACTACTGATGCTAGTCAGTATGGGATTGGGGTTGTGCTACAGAAAGATGAAGGCAAGGGATATAGACCCATTGAGTTTATGTCCAAACGTCTTTCGTCTCACAAGGTGGCCAACTCCACGTACGAAAGGGAATTGTATGCCTTAATTGCAACACTGGACACATGGAAACACTACTTGCTAGACACTTCACTGTTTACTCAGACCACTCTACTATGAAGTGGATAAAGACTCAACCACGACTCTCCGACAAGTTAGTTAGATGGTTTGCATTCATTGATACGTTTGACTTTGAATTAAAAACTATTAAAGGAAAATCCAATGTTTTTGCGGATGCTCTGTCCTGACGATTTGATTTCTTTGGAACCATCGTTTCCTATCCTGATATTGGGAATGAGTTAAAAGATCAAATCCGTAAGGGTTCTGTAAATGATCCGATTTGGAGTCCTATTATTGGGACCCTACAAAGGAACCCTTAACTCTTCCTTGCATATCGCATGTCTACTAGCTTACTCTTCTTACTTTGCATTTCACACAAAGAACAAATTAAAAATATGATTATTGGGGAATACCATGACACGGAAGGACACTTTGGATTCAAGAAGACATGTGCGAACTTGTTTTGTTTGCCAAAGGAACAAGCCATCGCTAATGTAAGAGAACACTTTGAATGGAAAGGAATGAACGAGGATGTGCTAACCTATGTGCGAACTTGTTTTGTTTGCCAAAGGAACAAGCCCTCCTATGAGAATCCATTGGGACTGTTGCGACCACTACCTATTAGAGTCAGAACGGCAATAGCCAGGTAATGGTCATTCTGGATCGCTTCTCTAAGTATACTATGTTCATTCCTCTACTTGCCAAAGCTCGAACGAAACTCGTCATCCAAAAGTTTTAGATGCGATGGTTTTTGGAATATGGATTTCCAAAAACCATCGTCTCTTATCAGAATGTACTGTTCACTAGCCAACAGTGGCAAAAGTTGATGGAGGCCTATGGCACCTGATTGACCATGTGATCAGGAAGGCATCCTGAAACGAATGGGCAAACTGAACAAATGAATCGTTTGTGCCAACAACTTTTGCGTACATATGTACGGCCATATCAAATTGATTGGGATGAGAACTTGCTAAGGATTGTGAGTGCATATAGTGTTCACACCGTCACCGCCTGAACACCGAATGCACTTCACAAAGGTTGGAAGCCACGACGTCCTATAGATGCTTTGGGCGGGCGGGCCAGCGAGCGCATGAGTGTGGGTGGGCCGGTGGACGGGCAGATGCACACGTGCGTGCTTGGGTGGGTGGGTGGGCGGGCGGGTGGGCAGGCCGGCGCGTGGTGCGTGTGTGCGTGCTTGCATCTGGGTGTGGCGGGCGAGTGCGAGCGTGCATGCGTGTGTGCGGGTGTGGCAGGCGGCGTGCGTGCACGTGTGCGTGTGGGTGTGTGGGCATGTGTGCGTGTGGGTGTGGCGAGCGGGTGCGTGCATGCGTGCGTGTGGGTGTGGAGGTTGGTGCGTGCGTGTGGGTGTCAAGGGTGGGTGCGTGCGTATGGGTGTGGCGGGTGGGACCGAGTCCAACGGCTACCCCCAGGAACACGAGAATTTGCAGTTCTGTATGAAGAAGACAAAAAGAAAGTAAGGAAAACATTCAGAAAACCCAATCACAAATCATTGAACAGGCCAACAAACATCGTCGGCCATCAAAGTTTAAGGAAGGAGATCTTGTTTGAGTCAAGTCCAAAGAATTTTCCTTGGAAGAGAACATGTCAAATAAATTGTTACTTGTCTATTATGGACCCTGGGAAGTTCTCAAGGTGATACGGGATACTAATGGACCTTCGTACAAAATACATGTACCCCCACACCTCGAGACATACCCCGTTTTTCACGCCTCCAAGTTACTGCCATACGTAGAAGGCCGCGGTTTCCCTAACCGGCAATCCATGTTTCCTCCCTCTATGAATGGAGGATATGAGGTTGAAAAGATATTGGAACATGGATACTTTTCGGCTGAGGAAGGCCACAAAAGCAATTCAAGATAAAGTTCAAATCTCAACCCCCGTCTGAAGCTAGATGGTTCAGTAAGACAGGACTTCTACCTACTCCTCCCGACATTGTTTTTGCACGCGCGTGGACTAAAAGGGAACTAGGCTAAAGTTAAAATTTCTACGATGGAACTCTATAATTGGGCCGGCGGGAATGCAATAACCCGCTCAGAATATGCTATTGGCCACAGCCAGGGGTCAGCACAGGCCACAACAAGCCTTGCGCTGGGCTGTACCCGACATAGGCCTGAAGAAAAGGGCTCAGAGGCCCTGCGCCCAACAGTTGACTAGTCAACTGTAACTCGGAATATCGACGCTCATGAGTCAAAGTCTGCAAGGACCCAGTCCAGGCCACTAATCGGACGCACACTTTGGCTGTACGCAGGTATCCAGGCAGAATCCGGTCCGAGTGGAAGTCTGCAACAATATGAGATCCAGGCCATTGACTGTGCGTCAATCTGAGCCCTCGTATCCGGGAGACCAGGGGCTGGTCGACTGTGACTACACCACTTATTGACCCAGCCCCTGTCATCGACATTCAGTCTTGCACTTGCTGCTCGACGCTGGCATGACGCTGTAAAGTCAACTGTAACTCGGAATATTGAGGCCCACGTGTCAAAGTCTGCACGGACCCAGTCCAGGCCACCGATCAGACACACACATTGGTTGTACGCAGGTACCCAGGCAGAATCTGATCCAAGTGAAATCTGCAACTGTGTGAGATCAAGGCCATTGACCGTGCGAGCCCTCGTATCCGGGAGACCAGAGGCTGGTCAACTGTGACTACACTACTTATTGACCCAGCCCCTGTCATCGACATTCAGTCCTACACTTGCTGTTAGGCTGGCACGACGCTGGCTGGACACTGGCTTGACACTGGCACTACGCTGGCATTGTGTGTGACGATGACGCGAGACTGCTGCGTTGCATGCTGGCGCCTGTCTTCTCTGGCGCCAGCTGGAGACTTGATTGCTGACATGGCACTTGCCACACTGTCTTCGGCACAGATTGGGGAACTGACGAGGAGGGAGATCAGGGCTGTGAGATCGGTAGTGAGAGAGAGAGGGAAGCTTACCTGATTGATGCGGTCGACATTGCGCGCTCGTGTGACGTCTTCATGAGAGATCTGTGCCTACGTCTTGCTGTGATCCAATCTTGTTAGGCTTGGCTTGGATACTCTTTGCTGACGTGGAAGAGGGGAGATGCCTGAAGGAGGAGTGGGATACGAGGGAGATCCATCTGCAATGACATTGATGGATACTTTCTCTTCCACAAGTCTTTTCTCCCTCCTTTCAGCTCCGTCCTTTGGTTACGGGACATTGTACTTCAGATCACATTTCATGATCATTGGAGACATTGACAAGCGCTGAGATATCTTGTCTTTTGACATTAACGAGTTTCATTCCAGACTGGGTTCATTGCACAAGGATGGTTAGCAGCATTAGAGTCAGGAGATAGAGGAAGAGAATTAGAGACCTGGGCGTGATGCAGACTTGCCATCTGCTGCGTCTGAACACGGTGCTCCTTGGCCATGTCTGAAATCTGCGTCTGCAGTTTGATCACCTGGTCAAACAGTTTGGACACCTGACCAGGGAAGCTCACTGAGCATGTAACAGTCTATGAGAGCACGCACATACATACATGACCAGATCTTTCTTGACCTCAGTGTCATGCTAGGAGGGGACTAATTTGACGGTAGTGACACCTGACCAGGAGGCAACATTGACCATGGCAGCAAGGATCACAAAAAGTTCAACGTTAATGATTGCCAAACCATACTGTGAAGACCGTAGTGACAATTAAGTGGCAACATCATGATCTGACATTGTCATCAATCCAACAAAATTCTGAGCAATCCGAGATGAACACCTCACAATTTTGATGATGATGACGCCTTTGAAAACCTAGTGAACTCAATGAGAAGATACCAGGATAGTGATGTGGTCATATGAGGACAACAACAAGATAATGAGCATGATGGCTAAAGCAGTGATGATGGTAATGGTGAAAATGCTAGTGATGGTAAAGACAACATGACAATAAGGATGAATGTTGAATTAGGCAGGTGGTGAGAGAAAGTCAAGTACAAGAGAGACAGGAGATTGCCACCATTCATCATGCAATTCCAGTTTCTTAAGCCCTGAGTGGCTAGCGTATGATGCTGTTTACCATGGCAACTATGAAGCTGATGACCATGACGAAGCAGGACCCATCATCAAACTCTCATTCACAAACTGAAAACCGCAATGATCAGGATGTCAATAATAACGATGATTCAGATAGTGATGGAGCATCAGTCACGATGGTGTTGACAGCGATGTCAATAATAATGATTATGATGACAAGCGCATCACAGTGACTACGATGTCGACACGACACAACATCATGCTGGGGAGGACGATAGCAATGACAAAAGAACCACAAGAGTAATGGTAAAATTATCATGGCAACAATACTCATGTCATAAACATCTCAAAAAGATGGTGAGAGTGATCATCATGAGTAATGGTTAAATTATCATGGCAACAATACTCATGGCATAATCATCTCAAAAATATGGTGAGAGTGATCATCATGGTGATGATGATAACCATGAAAATAATGAAGGAGATTCACTCACAAATGGGACAACACCCTCATGCAAGGTAAAAATATCTCACAGAGTTTTTCTACCTTCTTTATGTTACATGCAGTATTGTGCAGTTCGTAGGGAAGGGCTATGTTGAGTCAATTTGGCATGTGCAGCTAAGGAAGGGTAGAGAGTAAGACCCAACCTGTTACTTACCTCAGCGATGGGCTCAAATTTGCAACCATTACGGTTTTCGCATTTCCTCCAAGAGAGTCCTTAGTCACCAAAATTCAATACATGACAGACATAACACAGAACGTAATGAATTATCACAACGGCACAGACGAAACCGGCAATCAAATTCAATCTGAGCAGGAAGAAAACGCATGAAACAAAGCCAGAAGAAAGCCAGACTCAACAGACATGACGATATTTTATTATTTTCACTTCAGTCAAACGAAAAACACCAAGCATCAACAGAAGGGGAAATTAACAACACAGAATAGAAAGTAACCACACACGGCTTCTTGCCAATTTAAGTTGTGGCTGATCCATCTCCCAAGAAAGAGCTCAGTGGGCATGAAAGAAGAGTTAATCTCTTGGAATGACCGCTCACCTGAAGAAGAAATGTCAACCGTGAGCCCCGGTACGGAACATGGCGTTGCTTCCCCATAGCAACATCAACTAATGTCATAATAACATGCCTGCAAGCCCAATCAAGAGGTTGATTTTGTCACTATCCGAAAGCTTGGATGAAGCAATCACGATGAATTGCAACGTACCGCATGAGCCACCTCTTGAATGAAATGATGAGATAACTAAACCAAGCACTAACAATGCTAACCCACCAGCCACATGCATGTATCTACCTCGCATATATCGAATTGGCACATCCACAAGATAAATAAAAATAAGCAACGGGTGATAATGGCACCAGTCCACTACGCAATCACTCAAAAGAACTAAAACAGACATTGCATGTGTCCAGACATAAACATCAGCCAGGACTCGACTGCAACAGCGAAATATCTCTCCTCCATCACATGCAAATTGAAATGTTAGATGGACAAATCTGAAACCGGATGGAGAAGATATCCCAGCAAAAAGGAGATTTGTACAACAAAAAGACACCCCCTCCTCTCACTCCCACAGTTCCAACATCCCTAAACTTCAAACAGCACAAAAACCTGCCCCCCCTCTTTCTGTGTGTGTGTGTGTGTGTGTGTGTGTGTGTGTGCGTTTGCGCGTGTGTGTGTTGTCATCTTTGCTATACACAACTTGTGTGTTTGGATGTGTGCCATCCACTGCCCTCCAAAAAAAATGGGGGAAAAAAAAAGCACCATAGGTCTGATTCTGGGAAGAAACCTCATTTTTGTAGCTTGTGTAATGACCTGCCAAACTCGGACTGAGACACAAAGCTGATTTCGAGTTTTGCACATAGCATGGATGCCTTGCTGAGTTTCCTGCTTGTTGCTGAGCTCTCTAAGTCTGTGTGTGTGCATGCTTGCTGGTTTGCATGCCTGTCTGAGTGCTTGTCGGCTTGAATGTGTGTGTGACCTGCAAGGGCACTTGTTCGTTCAGAGGGCCCGAAGGGCCAGTACTTGCCTGCGGCCGTGACATCGAGGGTTGCAGTGGGGAAAAACCTCAAGTGGCGGGGAAAAAGGCCTGTGGCCAGTACTCGCCTGCGGCCGTGACATCGAGGGTTGCAGCGGGGAAAACACTCAAGTGGCGGGGAAAAAGGCCTGTGACACTTGGAAGCAGCGGAAAACACTGAAGTAGCAGGTAGGCCGGTACCACACCAGGTAGAGGTAGATGTGCCAGGTACTCGAGGCCAAGCAGAAGACGACAAAAGTTGGCATTCTTAGAGGCCCAATAGTTGTAGGCTAGGTCTAGGCGGGGACGAGTCCAACCAGTCTGAGTCTAGGGCCTGTACGAGCAATATCAGAGTCAGCAATGATGTTTCCCTCTGAAAGAGAGGAGGTACCGGTTGCTTGGAGGCTGTGCGGCCTAGGAAGTCACTCACCAAGAGGCACGGAGGCTGTTATATCTCCAGAAGGAGCAAGGTGCTCCTCCTCATTGCCGCTGTGCAAGTTTGGCGACACACTGGATGGAGCGCTGGCTGGAGCAGCGCTAGCTTGGAGTAGCGCCGCTGGGGAAGGAGCAAGGACCCGGAGGAAAAACAAGACCAGGACTAGGAAGGGCGAGCGCCACAGGTACTTACCTGGCTATGGTGGTTGCCATCTTCATCACCTTGGTGGGCGCTGCAGCAGGAAGGCCCCAGTTGGGGTAGAGCTACACCAAGAAGCTTCGAGGCAGAGTCAGGCATGGCGGCCTGAGCTAGAGAAGCCATGGCTGCTTTGTGTTGTCCTTTGGACAGCAGGGCAATCTACTGGTAGTCCGCCATAGCCTCGGCCTTGTAGGACGAGGGATTCAGACATTGATTCTGGTTCAGCCATTCAACATTGTTATTATTATTTCTTGTTTGAATAAGAGAGGAGGAGATAAGGACGTTGATTCTGGTTCAGCCATTCAACATTGTTATTATTATTTCATGTTTGAATAAGAGAGGAGGAGATGAGGACGAGGAGAGGGCAAGGAAGGAGCATTATCATTGGTCTACGCTGGTGTACATCATCTTCTTCTTCTTTCTTATACTTCCTCCTCTTCTTCTTTTTCTCTCTCCTCTCAAGTTCATTCATTTCTTTTTGCAATTGGACGGCATTGTACTTTCCGATGAATGTGTACTTCGAAATTGGCCAGGATCATAACACTTGCATACATCCTGTTATATTCAGCGTTATCTGCTAGCACATCATCTTCACTAACTGAGTCGGGAGTTAAATCACTCATTCTCAGGGGCTTAGAGTGAGTGAAAGAAATTTAGCACTGTAATACCCACCCAAGCTGGGAGAGAGACTTGTTGATATTAGCAGCTTCCTTGAGTCGTTCACCCTCAGCACCAGAGCTCTTCTGACTGCACATCAAACAGGCCACCAAATGTGGCAAACTCCAAAGGTCATATACATGATAGCGGCAGAGGGGAAGAAGCCTAAATCAACGGACCTGAACCGTGAAACCAAGCACGTGCCATACTCCAGAGTTGAGGACACTTCTTCATGTGTTGTAAGCATGAATTCAGTTCTAGGCTTTTCAGGAAAACAACACGACAGAGAAAGGTAATAAAAAAGAAACTGCACCTGGCGACTGAATGTTGTACCCATATGCAACTGTTGATTAACAGATCAAAACTTCCAATTCATTTAACACAATAATGATAGGGGCTAACGTCCTGAAATCAGACTTGTCTCAGTTTCACTTACAACATGCATACACAACGTCAACTCAGAGTCAGCAGCAAACTTGCGATGACGCACTGTGCCCACACAGAAAACTCAGAAATATGACCAAAGGCCAGGAACTCAGCTTAAGTCAACTCGTCACATCTATCGGCTATGGCCGCTGCACACTGGTCTGAATTGCCCCTTGCACACTGTCTTCACCATCAAACACACTCTCACTCACACATGTACACACTAGGATCCACCCTGAATGTCCACATCCCTACACACACACACACTGCACTCTAGCTGTTGACGTCAGCAACCTGGCGGCTATGGCCGCCGTTGTCTTCCTCCTCTCTCTCGCGGCTATGGCCGCTGTCTTCCTCCACTAGCCCACTTCGTCATCGGGCTCCTGCAGACCTCCGATACACAAGTCACATAAGCAGCGTTTCCGCATGGCTCACTGGCAAATGAATGAAATGGCTTGGCGCTGCCTCTTCATTTATACTGTTTCGTCGGTGGTCTTGGCCTGCCTCCGGTCCCGGGCCCAGAAGTGTGCAGCCCCACATGGTACTTGCTGACTAGACAAAGTCGACTGGGACTGCCTACTGGGACTGCTGACTGGACAAGGACTAGACTCTACCTTGCTGGCTCAGCTACGGCGGCTGACACTTACAGCTCCGAAGGGCCAAGTAGTAGCTTCTAGACTGGCCCTTCGCCACACTTAGGACTAACCTATAGGACTCACCCTAAGACTACTAACCCTAAGGTCTTCGGCTGAAGTCCACACGACCCAGACTATATACGTAAAACATTTGTACACGAGTTGAGGGATAGGTTGTAAGTTCAAAGCATACATAGGGTCAACGGGTAATTGTACAGGGGTACGGAAGGTCTAGGGGTCGATCCCTGGGATCCGCAATGTCGCGTGAACTGATTGAAACCGTTTCACTCCCACCGTCCTAAATTCAACGTCCTCCGAGAAGGCAGGACCTTTACCCTTCCTTGCTCTTTCATAAGCATGAACTAAGTCGGGAGCGGTCTCTAGAAGTTCAGTTCGTGTGAACCATCTTCTGTCCTCAGGTTCCTGGTAGGCAAACCTAAGTTTGTATTGGTTCTGGGGACGGCATCGACCTCCAGTCGGAAAGACCTCTTCTTCCAGTTTGCGTTCTATGTCGTATGTGCCATCCATGTCTGGTAGAATCATTGATCTCCGCGATGGAGACTGCTCGCTGAAAACACACGGCAACAACATTGATGCATGGAAGACCAGATACGTAAGGAGGTGCGGTGGTATTTCTATGGTGTGTGATGGTTCGTCCTCTCCTCCTCTGACTTCTAGGACAGGCCACGGCCCTCTGTACGTGGGCAAGAGTTTATGTGAGATGTTTTCCTCTGGTGCGAATTGCTTTGACTTGACCCAAACTTTATCGCCTACCCTAAACTGTGAGGGTCTGCGATGCTCGTTTGACTCTTCAATCATGCGAAGCTGGCCTTCCTAAGGTTTTTGACTACCCTAGCGACTTCCTTCTCGTGCTGCAAGGCAAATTCTCAGTACCGAGGGATAACCTCTGAATCTGATCTTGGTTCAGTCCTTCAAATGGCCTACGTGGTCTAAAGGACTAATGCAGCTTGTTAGGAGTTCGACAGGTAGCTAGGTGTACACTGTTGTTATAAGCGCTAGCTACCTTGGGAAGCATCTCATAGTTTATTTGGTCTGGTCTAATGTACATTCCGAGTAGTTGTTGCAAGATCTTATTCATCTACTCTGTGTGGCAGTTTGTCTCTGGATGACGACCGGACGACATCAACAACTTAGCACCGTGAACTCCCATGAGATCTTGCCAATTCTGGCTGATAAACCGCATGCCCCGATCACTAACTATGGACAACGGTAACCCGTGCTCAGTTACCCAGAAGTCGAAAAACTTCTCTGTAACTAAGTTTGTTCTTGCCTTTGCAGGCAAAGGTACAAAAACTGCATACTTGCTGAATCAGTCGAATATGACCATGACTTGGCTTTTGCCATGCCTACTCCTGACAGGGGTATCCATGAGGTCGATGGAGACTGACTCTCTAGTTCCTACAGGGATAGGTAAGGGTCTGAGGAGACCTAAAGGTGCTCGTGTCGTTATTTTGTTGCCCTGGCAAACTTTACAACTGCAAATACACTCTCTGCAGTCCGACTTCATGCCAACCCATTTATACAACATCATGAGGTTGGCCAAAGTCTTCTGCCAACCAAAATCTCCTTCTGTATCATGGCATTCCCCTAAGATCAAACTCCATTATTGGGGACGCACAAGCTATCAACAACATTGGTCTTCTCAAAGAATAGCCCATTCGTGGTGCGATAATTTGGCTCATTATCAGGGGTTTCTTTAGCTCTCTTTAAGAGATCGCTGTAAGTAATATGCCCTTCTACTTAGAGTGTCGGCTACCACGTTGTAGTTTCCTTTAACAGGCTTAAGCTCAAAGTCAAACTGGTCTATTTCAGTTGCCCACCTAGTCGACTTGAGAGTCATCTTGGCTTGCGTCTTCAGCCATCTCAGAGTTTCATGATCAGAGTAAACTTTGAAGTGCCTCCCAAGCAGGTAATGCCTCCAATGGTCTAAGGCCTGCCTGAGAGCGTAGAGTTCTCTCTCGTATGTCGAAGCTGCTACTTTTTCTGAGGGCAACCTGGCTGACATGAACTCTAGGGGTCTATACCCGTTGTCGTCGTCTTGCTGTAATACCACATCTATGCCACTCTGGCTTGTGTTTGTAGTGACAACAAAAGGCAATGAAGGATCGGCTACCTTGAGGACAGCGTACTCTACCAAGGCCTTCTTCAACTTCTTTAACGCCGAGGTGCAATCTTGATCCTATAATAGTTGGCCAGCTCTAAGAACGATCTCAACTTAGTCAAAGTGCATGGAGTTGGCTGCAATACAACATCTATGCCATATTGGCTTGCGTTTGTAGTGACAACAAAAGGCAATGAAGGATCGACTACCCTGAGGACGGGGTACTCTTCCGAGGCCTTTTTCAACTTCTTTAAGGCTGAGGTGCAATCTTGATCCCACTTTCAGATTGCTTCCTTCTTTAGGAGTCTGCGAAGGGGAGCAGCGATAGTGGAGAAGCTCCTCACAAACTTCCTATAATAGTTGGCCAGTCCTATGAACGATCGCAACTCATTCATAGTGCGAGGAGTTCGCCAATCTCTAGTGGTTGATATCTTGGCGCCCTCTAAGTCTGATATCGTCTCCATCTAACACATGGCCCAAGTAAAGGACTTATGTCTTGGCCCACTCGCAAAACTAAGATATCATCTAAGTAAACTACAACGAATCTATCTAGCCACAGCCTCAAGAAGTCATTCATGCAGCGTTGAAATGTAGCTGGTGCATT